GGGGGGGGGGGGGGGGGGGGGGGGGGGGGGGGGGGGGGGGGGGGGGGGGGGGGGGGGGGGGGGGGGGCGGGGGATGCGAGCGATGAGGGGTAGAACGGCATTGGAGATGGGCGGGGGCGGGAGGTTGCGGGGTAACCTCGTTACTCTGCACATTTCTGGTCTCCAGGCCATGGGCCCCGGGGTCTCCATCAAACCGGGACGGGGCTCGGCCTGTTAGCCGCGGGAGGGCTCGCACAGTGAAAGAGTAGGAGGACGAAGACGTTCAATGTCCTGGAATAGGGGTTGTTTCAGCGACCTGATCGTCCATGCTATTGGATCTGCTGTTTCCCTGCAACTTTCCTTCAAGTAGCTCACTCAGTTTAGACACCTGAACAGTATCCCTCAGTTGGTCGCCCCTGCCATCGTGAAGGTGCGGCTGCGCAAGCAAGCCATGCCCTCAAAATAGTTCCGTAAACAGCACCACGCGTCCTCGGCTTGAAACGCAAAACGATTTGGAGCGTATCGGGTGACACTGCTTTCCGGTGTTTTGGATTTTCGTTCTCCAGAAACTAGAACTAAAGGCGCTCGGTGATCAATCATGCTTGACAGTGATGCACACGGAGCTTGGGAGCATTAGTGTGGAAATTGTCAAGATACTCGTGGAAGAGTATGCGAAACGTGAAGAGCCTTCGTGCAGCTTCGTTTTTCGAGCCACAACGAACGTACTTGTCTGTTGGTCTCTTGCAGCTTGTCGACACTGCCCTCGTGAAGGTCCGCCTGTGCTAGCGTCCGAGCCTCCAGGTGATCGAACCGAGCCTGAATCAGCTGCGCTTTGGCCTGCGAAAAAACAACGCACAGCACCATTCTCAGCCACGGCGCGGAGTCCACGGAATTGAGTTTGTCCACGTGGAAGGGGAAAGAGGGATACGCCATAATACCACATCCCGATAGTTCTTGCGCTGGTGGAGTTGTTGCAGCACCATTGTCCAGATGGCACGGTCGGCCCTGACACATGAATTGTCATACCGATTTGCGTGGGGCAAAGCCCCCGTGAAGCCATGTATCTGGCACGGTCATTGTTTTCGCACCAAGCCTTCGGTAGGCAATGCCATGGAACAGTTGCTGCTTACGAGATACTTGCCGTCGGCATCGATATTACCAAGGCTAAGGGGCAGGTCCTCCCCATGCGTCAACTTTTGTCACTCCAAAGAACACGTTGACCGATACCTTCGTAACCTCAATGACCGCCCCCAACTCTATCGAGGGCGGCGACATCTGCGACGTTCCGTACGTAGTCAGACCTGCGATGGATGGTCTTTCCTCCAGCAGGATTCAATCGTCGACTGGCAGATCAAACAATGAACAACACAACCTGTTGTCGACTCGCTCGTTCCTCCCCCTGCTTGAATGAAAAAATTGATGGTGTTACCGCAAAGCGCGAAAAGGCCGCATCCTGAGGGTAATTTTCCCGTGTTTCTTGAATACGGTTGAAGAAGCGTCTTGAAGTGGGAGCATTTCTGTGCGTTATCAGCTTGGAGCTACATCCGCAAAGGACAGTGTGCAGCTGTTGGGATGTTGCCACAAGCATGATATACCGACGCTTACAGGGGCTAGGCGATTACCTGCGCCTCCCGAAGCTCCCTGTGCAGGGTTTCCACTTCCTCCTGACTGCGTCCCCGTCCCCCCGGAGGTTCGCGGTGCGCGGCGGCCGCGGCAGCCATGGCCTGCTCGTGGGCATCCTCGGGGGCGCATCCCGCGTCCAGCTGTTTCCAGTCACGCGCAATGCAAAGGGTATAGGTTTCGTTCCCGCCAAACGTTGTGCGCGCGGGAGCGTGGGGCGGGAGCGCGGCGGCGGGTTGACATTGTGCCGTTGCCACTGTGTTTCGGGGAAGCCTGCTCATTCCAGAATCAAGACGCAAAAACGTTGCCGTGCTGCAGTCAAGGGAAATATTGCTGGATGGTTCGTGTCGAGCTAGCGTGGGGCTACTCCATGATTACTCAACGCGAATCGTGTGTCCATTGGTTTAGACTTCCATTCAAGCTACCGTCATCGGTGTCATTGTCTCTGCTGCTTTTTCTGTAGATGGTGCGTTGACCTCTTTCTTCCCCGGTTTCGGTTCATCCGAAGAGAGAACCTCCAGAAGGATTTCAGAAGGTGTGCTACGCCGAACGCTAAGAAATAGACTTATTTTTGGAAGCCGACGCCGCGTTCTGCTTCCAACACCGTTTAAGAAACGGCCTCGGCTTTAAAGTCACTGGAACACTCAGGTGACTTTTGTCGACGCGTTGCGGAGGAAGTAGTGAGTGCCCCCCGGGCTTATGATTCTTTCGCTTTTCACACACCTTGTCTTGCCGAAGCCGCTGGTTCTCGGCCTTTACCCCCTTGAGCTGCTCCTCGGCGCTCGAGACCCGTTGCCGAAGCTTGTCCACCAGTTCGCTGAGCTGATCAGGGGAAGAAAAACACGACCAATCGACTACCTCGATCGAACCCGTACGAGTACAGTATTTGGAATTATACCTACGAGGGCAACACAGTGTTGGTCGCTGCCTGCTAACTTGACGGCTACGAGTCTTCTGGCGTGCACGCGAGCTTTGAGTGCATGTCCGGTAAAAGTGGTTGTCTCTTGCGCTAGCCTGAGCGAAATCAAACGGGGAACGAAGGCCAAACCCATCTCCTTTCGTAGTTTCACCTCTTTTCGTTCCAGGAACACATAACGGACCGACATACTGTATTTGCGATGAAGACGGGTCCCTACATAGAGTTTGGATGTGGACCGCTGGAGTCTGGGATAACGAAAAAATGGAACCACACATAACCTTTCGATCGTCCCTCCGTCTTGTCGCTCCCATGTCCATGTCGTCGGCGGAACGCTTTTTCGATAGCTGGCAAACATTTTGAGAACCGGAGAAAAGTTTCAAAACACGCCGGGCATGTCAAGTGAGGGTAGACGTTGGGGTCATCCGAGATCAGGAGTCAGATATCGCCAGGAAATTATTTCTCTTCGAGCTTTTTGAGTTGAAGTCCCAAGTGCAGCGGGCAAGAAACCAATATAATACTACACCATGAGACGCGGGACATCTGTTAAAACGCAGAGCATGACTGCTGAACGATGTGTGTAGTTCGAGAGATGCAGCTAAAATGATTGCTGTATGCAATCATTCGTTGATGCGGTGTGAAATATGTAACGTTTGGTAGAACGTAACATATAGCGACGAGTTAAAGCGAGGAACTCTTGCATGAATTGATAGTTGATCGGAGGAGATCGTAACTGTAGCGCGATCACGAGGTGTTGCGAGCCCCACCAGGCTAATTCCCACCTATCCCTCAACATCTCAACCCTGCAAGTAAACTGTGAAGTGAACAAGACGGAGAGGAAGTAAGAATCCCTGAAGCGGCATCTAGCAACAATATCGACTTCGGTCACTGCCTCAATAGACTTCGGTCTGAACAAGACACAGGTTTCTGTCTGGAACTGCACAACGGGTTGACCGCCTGCAGACGACCAGGGACACTACACATTTCTACAACATCTTCCTCTTCTTCCGACACCGGCCACGCCTTTATGTCCTCTGGGTTTTGGCCGTTTCTCTGAGGCTTTGAGGGGGCCGATGGTCTCTTCATCTCTCCATCAGCCATGAAACCCCGTGTAAGCAGAAGCGCGGGCGACAATTCAGGCAGGCACAGAACACCGTTTCCGTGGGTGCCGTCAAACGTACACCAGCCCGGTGCTTCGCAAGTCCAAACTACATTTCCGCGTGAATGTTGTTTGAACTTCCAAGACAATAAACAAATACGACAGCAACGGGCAACAGTAACAACAACCACCACGACGACATCGACGACGGTCACAAGGACGACAATCAGCTTTTCGAAATGCCAACCGCCAAAATATACCTGAACGTGGCGGCTTCGCATTCCGACGGACCGCGCCGCGGGACACGGGCTACGAGGGCCCGGCGGCCCGGCACCCACCGCTCTCGTCCTCGCCAGCCTCGCGGCGACCAGTTCCTTCTTCTTTTTTGACAGAGCATCGTTGAGGGACTGTGCGTGCGCGTGGTAAGGTGGACAGCGGAAGTGCACTGCTTGAGCTTATGCGATGTTTTCTCTCCCGCTGAATTGTGTGTTTGAGTCATTGGTATGATTAGACCTAGCACCGTAGCCTATTCTGCGCAGCCTATTGGTTGTGTCGCAGATGTTTAGCTTTGCGGTAAGACCTTGGAATCACAATAGTTGAAGGCGGTCTCCACCACGGACCACGATATTTTTCTCTGCTTGTTTTAGGCAGCATGCAAGAGATCGAAGGCGCAGTCACGGGTGCCCTTCCCTAGTCATACTACATTTGGCGAATGCGCACCAGCGATAGCAAATTACCCCGCCGTCCAGCACTACTGGGTGGTAAGCGGGAGATACACTAAACCGCAGCGAGCACTATCATGTTAGTAGGGTAGCACGTTGTCATCGGCTAGAGAAGGTTGCGTCACCTTGATCTTCGTCTTTAGGTCCCCGTTCTCCCGCAGCAGGACGCTGTTGTAGCGATGCAGCTCCTCCACGAGCTGCTCGTTCTCCCTGTTGCGAGGGTGGCCGAGGCCGCCAACGTCAGCGCCACCGCCCCCGCCGGCCGACGGCGCACGCGTCTGAGGGCCACCCCCGGCACCGCGTTGGTCATTTCCGCCGTTGTTCTCCAGCCGATACTTGAGCTTGAGGCTCTTTTCGATCTGGGAAAGCTTTGTGTTCATCCTGGATTAATTATTTGAACACGTACGCAACAGCGACACGTGGCAATTCGTAGAGGGAAGAGGTGGGAGGGTGGCGGTGGTGACCGTGTTGGCGACTGATACAAGAGTCGATCGTCAGTCAACGCACAGTGATCTTGGTTTCAATCTTAATCTACGGGGGACTCCGGGTGCTGTGCGTTCGACCCATCGTGTCTTTGGACCAAAGGGTTCAGGGTAGCAAGAGAGACGCTAGAAATTTACGTGTTCCTTCAAGCTACAGTACGATCGACCGTCTTAGGCTGGTAGCTGTACCTTTGAAATACTTCTGAGGAACCGCAGGCATGAGCAATCGAGGGCACCAAAGCTTCTTTTTTCAGTGATGGATCATCGAGTGTCATAAACACCGGTTGCGACAGGGGGGGGATTTAAAAATGTGATATCTGTAGACACTGCTGTTGCTGTGTTGCGACAAGCTCTGAGGTTCTCTACAACTATCATCCGGTGGGTACAGCATATCATGGCATTACATGTACTTGAATAATATCAAAGCAATCCGCTTGATTATTGTACCAGAACCGCAACATTCCTTGCGCACTCTCGTTTTGTCATAAATGTCGCCATATCGCCAATCGTAACATGACTAAAGATACGGCTTGTCCCACCGTCGAATAGTATCATCTTGCTCGTTGGCCTTGTGAGTGAGATTGGTGTGGTCATCCCGCAGCCGCAAGTACTTCTCCTCCCACGTCAAGCCTTCCATGGTGCTCGAGGTACCGATAGCTGCTCTCCTTTCGCGGCCTATTGCACCCTCACAGTGTTAGGCTCATCGACAGCATGTTATGTGCCGGAGACCTCAAACAGCCGCCACTGCTATTTCCTGGAGAACGATTTCGAGAGCCAGAAAGGGTAATCTTTCTGTGTTTGTAGTTATGTTTTCTAAGAAGGTCCCCGTACAAAATCCAGGTGCATTATGCACAACATACGCCGATAATGGTGATGTCAGGAACAAAGCGAAAGTAGCAGCGCGGCATCAGAGCGTGCGGTACGGCAGAATATCTTTGCATAAGCCATGGCGACACGGGCGGGTAACTTGCACCCGCAAAATCATGCTCTTCACAGCAGTCATTGTCCTCAGTCATTGAGCATCCAGCGCATCTTGGCGAGTGCTGAAACACCAAGCAGAGGGCAAGACCTTTCAGCAATCAACAGCATACCTGTTGATCCCGTTGTCATCGCCAAGTCTGTGTGCGCCGCTCTCAAAAAGGCGGGAAACCGCGCGCGCGCCCGCCTGTGGAGATGGCACGGCCGCTGGAACCGATGGAAACCCCAAATCGTGGAGAACCAAGAACGTCCCGCCCTCGCACCTCGCATCCGCCAACCCCATGCACGCACCACTCTCCCGTTTCCACGCCAGCAACGCGAGCTTTAGTCATGACTCTCTCTTATCTTCGTGTTGCCCTTCTGCTTGGGTTTCACCTGACAGGAGAAATACAGGCGTTTATGACGACTGGAGCCGGGATCGTACGGGTGAGTCCGTGGCAATCACAGGTGGCGGTGCTTTCTTCTTCGTCTGATGCACGCAGCAACAGCTGCTGTGCAGATACAGGGCCTGTGCCTTTTTCAGAAGGGTCGAGGCTTCCGCGTCGGCTGGTGTTGTAAGCTCAGGGAGTGGCACTTGATCGGCTTCATCGCGCCCTTTTGCGTACTGGTGGTACTTGCCACAAGCAAGCTTGCGCAGCAGTTGTAGCTGTAGCAGGCGTTTGGTACATAATATGCATACCACACGACGTGACGTCCATGGCACGATGGCTCTTGTTGGGTTGGCACTGCTGTATGCTGTGTGCTGCTTGCTAGCCAGCGCCGATGCGTGCTGCCACCGTAGTGCACACAGCAGCATAGCCGTCTGCGCCCGGTGTGCTTCCTTGTGTGGCACTTCCGCCGTTAACAGTTTGACATGGTGGTGTGGAGCGACGAGTTTAGACTACGATACGGTCTGGGAAGGAAGGTCGTACACATGTTTCATTTTTGCGGTTGCGGTCCTTTTCTCAGAGAGCTCCCCAGATTACAAGCCGGTATTTGTTTTGCTCGGCCCGGTGAAGACAATGCTCCTACCACCAGTTTATATGTGTTCTGGTTCCAGACTTATGACATTGTTGTTCACATTGTATCAACTATTTTCATGTCTGAGCTGTGTAGTACTAACAAGGGAGAACCTTCTGCCCCGCCGCCCGTTCCCTATATGGCCAACCGCCGCTCGTCGTCCTGTGGGCCAATCAGAATGGTCCCTGATCGCAATTGACGTTCATTTCAATGCTGGGCGCCAAGAACCCTTCTTTTCCGCCTTGCGAACGTTTGCGCCCGTTCTTCTTCGATCACCCAAACGTGCTCACTCATGCGAGACACGGGGACGGACGGGTGGTGTTCTTTGTGCCATCAACCGCCTGGTTATTTATATAGTTATATTTTCGGAGATTTCCGAATATGAACGGCTTCCGAGTCGAAGCGATATAGGTGCAAGACTTAGCTACCTTTGTGCGATTGACCTCGTCCTGAACATCTCACGGTAACATTTCGAGTCCCGCGTTTTCGCTAGCGCCCGGCCGTCCGCCCGTCGATGTGTCGTTTGTAACAAAATACCTAAGAATTCGAAGTTTAAGATACATGTGCAACACTGGCTGGGACCGCCATCGCGCGATTGTTAGGTTAATGAGGAAGTACAACAGGGAGGAGGGATACAGACCCTATGCCCTTACCCTAACCCTTACCCAACTTCCCCGGTTATGTGCTCCATCCAACATGTTGACATACAACAAAAAACCTGCTTAAGCTACTGACTGGCTGCATACATACGCAAATATTCTTCCTCCATTTTCAGAACGGAACGGAACGAAAGCGGCCTGTCTCACTTCACACGTTCTCCCAAACAAACGAGTTGTAAGATGTACTTCTTGCCCCCGTCCCAACCTAAATTCGCAGCAACACCGACAGGCAGCATTCACAACCGCTAGCGGCCTGGGTCGAGCATCGACGCCGCTCTCCATGGCAGCGGCTGGAACGGACACAAAGCCGGTGCGGGTGGCCATTCTGGGGGCCTCCGGCTACACGGGGGCGGAGCTGGTGCGGCTGCTGCTGGGCCACACCGGAGTGGAGATCACCGTGCTCACTGGGAACACCCAGGCCGGGCAGGAGTTCTCGGCGGTTTACCCCCAGTTCCACTACGCCAAGGTGAACGAAGAAGCAGCAGTATTGGAGCGTTGACATAGATGGCTTGTCGCTGGCACGAACAGGTGTTCTTCCCGCCTCCCCTCTCTCCGTTCCTCCCTCCCTCCGTCCTTCCTTGGACACGCTTGGCTGTCTGCGTGGAGACAATGTACTCAAAGTACTTCTTGTTTTGTGCCGGAGAGGAAACGTGTGCACGCTGTTAAATGTATTGTGGGCGCTTTTATGTGCTCGTGCAATTTAGATGGTTCCTTGTTTTTGTTGTTTTGTGTGTCTTTGTGTATGTGTGTGAGAGAGAGTAGGCGGAGCGAACAGAATCCCACAACTGGGCATGCTTCTTCCTCTGTACACGGGTGCTTTGCGTACACCAGTAGTGACTGAGACTAAACGACGAAACTGCAGTAGCTGCATCTTGACGACACAACCACTTTGTGTACCAAGGGATGGAGGAATAGTGTGGTGGGAACCTATTGTGCGTCTCCGGAAACAACACAGATAATGATAGTCGCGGGTAGGGGTAGTGGTATATGCGGCCCGCCGCGACGGAAGTATGTCCGGCGTCGACAAGGCATGCCGACCGTCGCGCGTAGCGTAGCGATTGTGAAGTCACGCCTTCGACATTGAACGTGTCCTATGTGCTATGTGCTAGCCGGAATATGCCGCGCCAAAGGAGTCCCCTTCGGACGGAGATGGTGGGCCCCGGCTTGCACAGGGAAGAGGTGTAAGCGTATGCAAGTGGCCCCTGGCCTCGGAGGAGCGTGCAGACGGGCTATGCCGGCACGCCGTGTTCCCTGGAGATGAACCCGTGCACCCAACCGCTGCAATGTGTGTGTGTATGTGCTGTTTTTTCTCGAAACTGCATCGACCGCTGTAGCCGGTTGACCAATGCAAAGACGACCTCGGCCTAAAGTGCGGCTATCAACAGCGAGCGCTTCTAGAGGTCATGGTCTGGGGTCACGGGGGGAGGGAGGCTAAGCAATTATCGGGACTAAGCACAGCAACGGTGTGTGCGTGCAAGAGCAGCGATTGTTGGAGTGTGCGTTTCGTTCTCCTACTGCCTCTCGAGGGGCTGGCTGGCATCTACCCTTCGGTTGGCTCCCTTGCGCGCTTTTAATTTGTTGCTGCTGGACGGGCGGACAGGACCTGCCGGCGCTGACCCGGCACGAGGACCACGACTGGAAGGACGTGGACTGCGTCTTCTGCTGCCTGCCTCACGCCACCACTCAGGAGATCATCTCGCAGCTTCCGGAACACCTCAAGGTGAAAGGGGTGGCCCGTTTTCCTTGCCTCCTTGCGCCTGCGGGGGGGCGGGGGGGGGGG